TCTCCCTCGTCCCAGCGCAGGAAGCCCTTCCAGGGCCACGCCTGGAAAACTCCACGCAAGCCTGAAGTCCCTTTGCCATCTTCTGCGATTTCTTTTGCTCCGCGTGGGGGGAAGGAAAAGGGCGCCCCTTCCCGTCTAGGGCTGCCCGTGTCTATTGCGGACTAGCGCCTTGGCGCGCGCCTCTTGCGCCCTCCCTCCCAATTCTCGCGAGAAGTGACGTGCCCGGGAAGGGGCGGGGCGTGCGGGTGTCATGGCGGCCCCCAGGGGTGGCCCACGCGTAGCAGCTGCAGGTGCGCGCTGAGCCAGGCGACTCCCGCCGCCGCCGGGAGGTAAGGGCGAAGGAAGGGGCTCCGCTGTCGCCTCCCGACTCAGGCGGGGGGGGGGTGTCTCCGTTGCTGGGAAGGGTCTGCCTGCGAAGCGGGGTCGTTGCTGGGGTCCTGCAGGGTCCTCCGGAGACCTTTTCCGTGGAGAATCTGGCGCCGCAGTGTTCACTCCAAGCTGAGTTAGTGTGAGGCAGCACACAGTTTTTTAGCCTCCAGCTCACAGATTTTGTCTTCGCTCAGGAAGGAGGACTCCAGAGCAAACTGATTTCTGCAGCAGCCAAATCACCTGCTCACAATTCTAATGCCAGGAGCTCACAAGGTAGAATTGTTGCTCATGAGACTCCACGGCTTAGAGGGAACATCCCGGGTCCGGGAAGACGGCGCTTTCCGTTCCAGACGTGCTCTTGTCCCGAGTTCCGGGCCGGGGGAAAGCACGACTCTCCCGAGCAGTGTTCCCTCTCAGCTGAGTTGGTGTGAGATAGCTCACAGGTTTTTAGCCTCCGGCTTACCCGTTTTTGTCTCAGCTCAGGAAGGAGGGCTCCAGAGCGAACTCATTTATGCAGCAGCCAAATCATTCCCTCACAGCTTTAATGCCAGGAGCTCACAAAGTAGAAGTTTTGCTCACCGGACTCCACAGCTTAGAGGGAGCACTGCTCCAGAGCAAACGGATTTATGCAGCAGCCAAATCGCTGGCTCACAACTTTAATGCCAGAAGCTCACCAAGTAGAATCCAGACCTTATCCAGACCTATTCCATTCCGTGCTCCGTCTGAGCTGAGTTAGTGTGAGCTAGTTCACCGTTTTTTAGCCTCCGGCTCACACTTTTGTCTTATCTCAGGAAGGATGGCTTCAGAGCAAACTGATCTATGCAGCAGCCAAATCCCTGGCTCAGAACTTGAACGCCAGGAGCTCACCTAGTAGAATCTTTGCTCACAGGACTCCACGGCTTAGAGGGAGCATTGCCTGGGGGTGGGCCCGGGGTCTTCTGGGGGGCGAAGCCTGACCCACACACAGTCTCTCCGTGGGGCTGCCCCTCTGCCTGCAAATGCTGCAGTCCCCCCTTCCCCTCCGAGGACAGTAGGCAAAACTGTTAGGGCTCACAGGACTCCACGGCTTAGAGGGAGCATTGCCTGGGGGTGGGCCCGGGGTCTTCTGGGGAGCGAAACCTGACCCACACACAGCCTCTCCGTGGGGCTGCCCCTCTGCCTGCAGACGCTGCAGTCCCCCCTTCCCTGCCGAGGACAGTTGGCAAAACTAAGTTAGAGGGAAGTTGGGTTGCCCGCCTCCAGGTGAGGCCGGTGTCTCTTTTGGAGAAAATCCCTGTTTTGGAGGGTGGATGGTATGGCATTATACCGCACGTGAGCGGGAGATGTGGCTACTGCATAAATTAGTTTGCTCTGGAGCCCTCCTTCCTGAGCTGAGACAAAACTGTGAGCTGGAGGCTAAAAAACTGTGAGCTAGCTCACACTGACTCAGCTTAGAGGGAACACTAGTCTCAACCACAGAAAGCAAGTTGGTGTTTTGGAGGAGCCTTTCCTTGGAGAGGGGCTTGGCAGACCCTAGTGGGGTGGGTTTGCTCCTCCCCCAAACACACAAACCGATTTTAAAAATTTAAATTTTGTTGTTGTTGTTAAAATGGATTTTTAATAGACTGCTATTTGAGGAAAAACCTCTCTAAAGATAGTTGGTGGGGTGGGTTTGCTCCTCCCCCAAACACGCAGGGTGGATAAGGATCAATTAAAAAAACCTGATTTTAAAATTTTAAATTGTTTTTTTTGTTAAAATGAATTTTTAATAGACTGCTATTTGTGGAAAAACCTCTCTAAAGATAGTTTTCTATTTAAGATACATTATAGTGCAAAGGTTATTCATCATGAAACATGAATAAAATTTTAATTATGTAGCAGAAGGCTGTATATTCATGCGCTGCTTACATTTTTTGGTAAATTAATTCCATTAATCTATTCATGATGTCATGCTCCCCCAGAGGTTTCTGTAAGATTATTTTGGGCAATTTTGCTATCTAGAAGGTATTATCACAGATGCTGGGTTTTGCAGTTCTCAGACCTGTGAAGTTGTGTCTGCAGAGATAACGTGCCTCTTCTTCATGCGACAATGTTATAAAACAAACACACAGAGATAAGAGACCTCAGTCCTATTGGTCCTCTGCAAATCTATGCACACAGAATTAACCCCATATCTCTTTAAGTGCCAAGTTTCAAGATTCAATAAATGTAAGATTGCTTGGGATGGAATCAGTGCTCCCTCTAAGCTGTGGAGTCTTGTGAGCAAAAATTCTACTTTGTGAGCTACTGGCATTAAAGTTGTGAGCGAGCGATTTGGCTCCTGCATAGATCAGTTTGCTCTGAAGCCATCCTTCCTGAGCTAAGACAAAAGTGTGAGCCGGAGGTTAAAAAACTGTGAGCTGGCTCACACTAACTCAGCTTAGATGGAGCACTGGATGGAATAGGTCTGGATAAGGAGGAGATGTGAAGAGCGAAGTGTGAGGAAGGAGTACAAATGAAAGTGAATCTTTTTGAGCAGAATACTCCAGAAATCTTGAGATATTTGTGAGTGTATTCTCATGGATGTTTAAGCAAATACAAGAATACATATGCTATATAATGTTATTGTTTTAGTTAGATTTATACCCTGCCCTTCACTTGGGAGTCTCAGAGCGGCTTGCAAACTCCTTTCCCTTCCCCTCCCCACAACAGGACACCCTGTGAGGTAGGTGGGGCTGAGAGAGCTCTTTCCAGAACTGTCCTTGAGAGAACAGCTCTGACAGAACTATGGCTTGCCCAAGGTCATCCAGCCGCTGTGAGTGGAGGAGAGGGGAATCAAACCCGGTTCTCCCAGATTAGAGTTAACCACGACACCAAACTGGCTTATTGTTAATGTTATCGTTAATGATTGTTTTCTCCCGCCAATAAAGTACAGCAGAAACGTTGTCCAAATCTGAATGATTAACCTATTAAACTGGAGATAGTTCACCTTGCAATGATTTCATAGTTATTTGTTCAAGTGGTAAATAACCAATCATTAATATTCTGATACAACAAAAAGTTACGTGAAAAGTTATGCTAAAACGAAACCTTCATCTGGTTTGTAAATATTAAGGCTAGCAAGAATGAGCCTTTATATAGAATATATATATGTGTGTGTGTATATAATATAAAATATATACTACATATAATATAGAATATGTATTATATAGAATATAATAGAAACCCATAATTTAAATCGAGTCTTGCTGCCTAGTGATTTAAATTGTCATTCACGTCAAATTCACCCTGCGTGCACACACACACATATCTTCTGGCTGCCCCCCTCCTCTTTCATGCCAGAAAACTGTCCTCCGCCTGCCCCTTGAAGTCGTGTGCTTTCTCTCACTCTTTCATGTCTATTCTCCACTCACCACCACCACCATTGATTTCTCCCCCTCTGTGTTTCTGTAGAAGTGCATTTAATATCCCCGTTTCCAGAACAAGGGTCCGGTAGGTGTGACGAAAGCTCCTCCCCTGCCACAGCTTTTGGTAGTCTTTAAGGTGCTCCTGGACTCCTGCTGTTTTCTGCTGCTACAGACAGACTAACACGGCCGCCCATCTTGACCTTTCTCCAGTTTCCAGAGAAGAAGGAGGGAGGGGAGGGGTGAACGTTCCTTGGGGTGCCCTTCCCCTTATTTGGGTAGCCCCTGGGCACCTGGCAGGTAGCGATCTTGCCGTTAGCCTTTCCTTTCCAAGCCCTTGTGGCTCAAACGGTTGGCAAGCCTTCTCAAGCCTCCTTTGCCGTAGGGTCTAGGGCAGTGGTGGCGAACCTATGGCACGGGTGCCAGAGGTGGCACTCAGAGCCCTCTCTGTGGGCACGCGTGCCATCGCCCCAGCCAGGCCCAGACCATCATTAAAGTGTCGAATTCTCTGCCAAATAATTTTAAGTAAATGAAAGCATTTGGGATTGCTTTCCTTCCTTTGTTTGGATCATCTTAAGTAAATGTATGAGTTGTCTTTTCTAAAGTAAAACCTCAGTATTCAGGTGTGTTGGCACTTTGCAATAAATAAGTGGGTTTTGGGTCGCAGTTTGGGCACTCGGTCTCTAAAAGGTTCTCCATCACTGGTCTAGGGACTTGGCTGCTCCTTGGTCAGCCTTCTGATTCCTGCCCTGGTGAGGACAGGATATTCACTTCCCTGCTTGGGAAAGCTGGGTATGTCTCCTCGGATTAATTTTTTGTTTCTCTGCAGATATTCTGTTCCTTCTTGGTGGTGGCCCCCCTGCCCACACTTGTGTTGGGATGCCTGAAACACCTGATGCTGCTGTCCACTCACGCTCGATCCGGAGGTCTGGCTGGAACCCAGGCGGAAGCTTGCATAAACACTGTCCTAGCGGCGCCCCTTAGGAGTCGGGTTCGAGGGGACCCTAAGAGGGTTGCGTGATGATGGAGGCGGAGCCGCCGCCTGAAAACCAGGATGCTCCGGAAGTGGAACAGCCAACCTATGACAATTTGGAAGCGGGAGAGGATTTCGAACCCGCAGCTAAAGTGCTAAGGTTGAATGGGGATCAGGAAGGCCACGGAGAGGCGGGAGAGAGCCTCTCCGTAGCCGAATCGCTTGGAGAAGAGCCCAGTCTAGAGGGTGCATCGTCGTATCTGGAGGAAGAAGCGAGAGACGACGGAGGGGAAGTGGCCCTGGAAGGTGGCAAATATTAGTGAGTGTGGGTTTCTTCCTGGGGCTACGGTTCAGCCTCCTGACGTACTTCCGAGGCAGGCCAGAGCAGCCGTGGTTGCTGACGGAGGAAGGATATGGCAGTGCTGAGCAGAGATCGTTCTTGAGGTTCATTCTCTAGAGCTGGGTACCCAGAGGTTGGGTGAGAAAGAAAAAATATTTTGAGAAATTAATTAAACAAAATAGATGCATGCACTATAAAGTGCACTGAAACTAAAAGTTAAAAACATCGGCACAATCTGCTCTGGACGTGGCAAATATTTGAACTATCATCATCAAATTTATTGTATTAGCCATTGGCCATAACAAAGATATTTGAACTAAGAATTCCTGATTCTGCAGAACCTGATACATTTGGATATTTCTAGGTTAACATCCTTGAACCAATAAAACAGGACCAGTAATTCAATATGTCTAGGTTGATAACCTTGGAACCACATTTAAACAGGACCAAACGCGTTTCGGGTTCCAAGGCCTTCCTTGTACAAAGACAATTTTTACCACTGAGGAAGGCCTCGGAGGCTGAAAGTGTTTGGTCCTATTTTAACATGGTTCAAAGGTATCAACCTAAAGGTAAAGGTTTCCCTTGCTCGAAAGCCAGTCGAATCTGACTCTAGGGGGCAGTGCTCATCTCTGTTTCCAAGCTGAAGAGCCAGCGCTGTCCGAAGACTTCTCCGTGGTTGTGTGGCCGGCATGACTAAACGCCAAGGCTCATGGAACGCTGTTACCTTCCCATCGAAATGGTACCCATTTATCTACTTGCAGTTTCTTGCTTTCGAACTGCTAGGTTGGCAGGAGCTGGGGGTTATCCATCCATCAACCTAGATATATTGAATTATTGGCCCTGTTTTATTGGTTCAAGGCTTCTGACCTAGAATATCGAAATGTATCGGGTTATATAGATTCAGGACTTCCTAATTCAAATTTTCACCACTTCCAGGGCGGATTCCGCCAATGTTTTTAAAGTTTTGTTTCAATGCTCTTTGTAATACATACATATATTTTGTTTAATTAATTTCTCAAAATATTTTTCTCTCTCTCGCCCAGCCTTTGGGTACCCAACTTTGCTGCTTCTTAAGGTTGGGTCCCCCCCCCCCTTTCTGTTTTGGTTCATTCTCTAGAGCCTGCCCTGCGTGTAGAATGTGGGAGTGATTATTCTAAGATGGGGCATGTGGGAGGAAGGTGTCGCTGAGGAGGGTGGAAAGGCAGGGTCTCAGTTTTGTAAGTCTGTAAATAATGACCTGACCTGGATGTTGTCATGTCTCAGAAGCTAAGCAGGGTCAGCCCCTGTTCCCTCTAAGCTGAGTGAGTGTGAGCTAGCTCACAGCTTTTCAGCCTCCAGCTCACACATTTTTGTCTCAGCTCAGCGAGGACGGCTCCAGAGCAAACTAACTTATGCAGCTGCGAAATTGCTCCCTCACCACTTTAATGCCAGTAGCCCACAAAGTAGAATTTTTGCTCACAAGACTCCACAGCTTAGAGGGAGTATTGCCCTATTCAATATTGGGATGGGAAATATTGGGATGTGTCATGGTGCAGACACAGTGTTCCTCTGTTGCCTTGAAAACTCCCAAGGAGTCACTGTAAGCCGCAACTTGGCGGCCCTTTTCACCACCAAAACGGAGCTGGCCCTGGCCTGAAGGACCTGGTTAGCCCGCTCTCGTCAGATTTTGGAAGCCAAGCTGGGTCAGCCCTGGTTAGCTATGGAAAAATTGCAGAAAAGGGCAACTCGAATGATAAAAGGGTTGGAACACTTTCCCTATGAGGAAAGGTTAAGGCGCTTAGGGCTCTTTAGCTTGGAGAAAAGACGACTGAGGGGTGACATGACTGAGGTTTACAAGATTATGCATGGGAAAGAATAGGTAGAGAAAGAGGTACTTTTCTCCCTTTCTCACAAGACAAGAACTCGTGGGCACTCCATGAAATTGCTGAGCGGTCGGGTTAGAACGGATAAAAGGAAGTACTACTTCACCCAAAGAGTGATTCACACATGGAATTCACTGCCACAGGAGGTGGTGGCGGCTACAAGCATGGACGACTTCAAAAGGGAATTAGATAGGCATATGGAGCAGAGGTCCATCAGTGGCTATTAGCCACAAGGTATAGATAGGGGCTCTGGGGCAAGGGATGCTCTGTCTTCTTGGTGCTTGGGGGGGCAACAGTGGGAGGGCTTCTAATGTCCTGGCCCCACTGGTGGACCTCCTGATGGCACCTGGTATTTCTGGCCACTGTGTGACACAGAGTGTTGGACTGGATGGGCCTTTGGCCTGATTCAACATTGGCATCTCTCCTATGTTCTTATGTTAGTACTTGGGTGGGAGACCACCAGGGTCACTATGCAGAGGCAGGCAATGGCCAAACCCACCTCCGAAGGCCTCTTCCCTTTGAAAACCCCACGAGGGGCTGTGCCTTTACGGCCCTTTCAGCCACCGTGAGATCTCGTGACCAACTCTCCCCTGATTTTGCTCTTCTCCTAGTTTCCCCGCGTACGACTTCTCGGAGCCCCCCCAGCTTCTGACCGGCTCTTGGGCGGAGTACGGCCATATCCCGGAGAACTTCCTGAAAGGCTGCAAATGGTGAGGACGGCGAGGGGGTCCCGGTGGCCTTGTCTGGGGACGTAGCCTTGGAGAGGGGGTCCCATTGATGGGGTCCAAACTGACTGAGACTGACCAAGAGAGAGATCTTGGAGTCATAGTTGAAAACTCACTGAAAATGTCGAGGCAGTGTGCGACTGCAGTAAAAAAGGCCAACGCTATGCTGGGGATTATTAGGAAGGGTATTGAAAACAGATCAGCCAGTATCATAATGCCCCTGTATAAATCAATGGTGCGACCTCATTTGGAATACTGTGTGCAGTTCTGGTCACCACACCTTAAAAAGGATATTATAGCATTGGAAAAAGTGCAGAAAAGGGCAACTAGAATGATCAAAGGGTTGGAACACTTTCCCTATGAAGAAAGGTTAAAACGCTTGAGGCTCTTTAGCTTGGAGAAACGACTGCTGAGGGGTGACGTGATCGAGGTTCATAAGATTATGCGTGGGATAGAGAAAGAAGTACTTTTCTCCCTTTCTCACAATACAAGACCTCATGGGACTCATGAGTGGTCGGGTTAGAACAGATAAAAGGAAGTCCTTCTTCACCCATAGAGTCATTCACACGTGGAATTCACGGCCACAGGAGGTGGCGGCTACAAGCATGGATGGCTTCAAGAGGGAATTAGATAAGCACATGGAGCAGAGGTCCATCAGTGGCTCTTAGCCACAAGGTCTAGATAGGAACTCTCAGCTTGGGGCAGTGATGCTCTGTATTCTTGGTGCTTGGGGGGGGGGCAATAGTGGGAGGGCTTCTAGTGTCCCGGCCCCACTGCTGGACCTCCTGGTGGCCCCTGGTATTTTGGGCCACTGTGTGACACAGTGTTGGACTAGATGGGCCATTGGCCTGATCCAACATGGGCTTCTCTTCTGTTCTTATGAGAGGAGTTTTGCTTCTCTCGTCCTGTGCTTTGGTCGCTAGGAAATGCGGGACTCCTCACTCTGGGGGAACTTTTTATCTAGCAAGCCTCTAAATAGTGTTGGTGGGCTTAGACTTGGTAGAGTACTGAGCCTTTTCCCTTCATTCTTACCTTTCCAGTGCTCCAGAGTAGAAATGTGAAGGCCCGGAAAAAAACCAGAAAAATTCGGGGAAAAACTGGTTTCCCCCCGTTTTTTTCCCGAAGCCTTTTTTGTTTTTTTCCGAAAAATTGGAAAAATTGAAAAAAGAAAAGAAATGAAATTGATTATGGAAGATTTTATTTTAACATGATGAATAAAATATTTTTAAGACAAGGTGTTCAAATATTTTCCAAATCATTTCATATATATATATATGGTATCAGATTGATCTAATTTCTGTGCACTGAGGACAAGCAAGTCCTAGGTTACAAACTGAACTCTCCAATGCAAGAACAAAATGCCTTTCTTCCTTTAGGAGGTGCGATTGTCAGAAGAAAATAAAAAGGTTTCAGTTTTGTTTTTGCATGTGGGTGGGTATTCTGTTTGTGATAATTGTTTGGATACACTATATTTTTAATAGGCTAGTTGTGATAATTTCATGCCAAGTAAAAATGTCCATAGTCGTATTTTATGTTCCTAAAGTAACAGAATGACTTTCAATCTAGAAAAGACAAAAGAAATGCTAATGGAAAAACCGGGGTTTTTTTCCGAGCTTCAAAATTTCCGGAAATTTTACATCTCTAAGCATCCCACCCCTCCCGGGCTGTTACGCTGGACAGGCCGTCAGAGTGCCCCGGAGGCCGGCCAAAGGGCTCATGAATCTACACTGGGCCAGGGAGGTGTTGCGGAGGTCAGAGTGCGGGAGAAGGGCTCAGGGGGAAAGAGCCGTGTGGCAGGGCAAGCGAAGGCCACCGTGAGGGTCAGTGAAGGGAGGAGAAGTGAAGGAAGGCAGTTCTAGGCAAAGAAAGAAGGTGACTGAGATGGGAGGTGGAAGGCAGTGATAGGAGTTCTTGGGGACTGGAGGGTGAAGAGGCGATAGTTGACATTTCCCTGGATCGAGGTGGCTGGCGCTCCTTGGGGGGGGGTGTCTCCTTTCCCCATTGTTGTGCCATTTGGCCCATTTCCCCTAATTTGTGAGATCAGCGTTTGGCACCTCATGTCCTCCTTCAGTGCAGAAATATGGGTGTGTGGGGGTGTTGATGTGATGCACTGGGCAGCGCCTCTCTCTCTCTCATGGTCCCGCTCACCCTCTCTTTAGGGCCCCTGATGGGACTTGCCTGCTCACCAACAGCGCCGACAACTGCCTGCGCATTTACAACCTTCCTGCGGAGCTGTATGCGAAAGAGTGGGAGACGGTGGCGGAAATGGTAGGTGGCGGGGACCGGGAGCGAGCGGAAGGGGTTTCTGCCATTTTACAAACCCTCCCTGCCCTTTGCTCCTGTCCTGAGCAATTAAATTTGCAGAGGTTTGTGCAGACACATCAAGTTCTGTTGTTTTGCTATTGGTGACTCTTTTGCTCTGTCTTTGACACGCTGGAGGGCAGCTCTTCTGGAGAGCCAGTTTGGTGTAGTGGTGAAGTGCGTGGACTCTAATCTGGGAGAACCGGGTTTGATTCCCCACTCCTCCACTTGCAGCTGCTGGATGACCTTGGGCAAGCCAGAGTTCTGTCAGAGCTGTCCTTGAAAAAGAGCAGTTTCTGTCAGAGCTCTCTCAGCCCCACCTGCCTCACAGGGTGTCTGTTGTGGGGAGGGGAAGGGAAAGGAGTTTGTGAGCCGCTCTGAGACTCCTCTGGGTTGTGAAGGGCGGGGTATCAATCCAATCTCTTCTTTTTCTTTTGAATCCATAATGTTAGCCATTCGGGTCTCTTCTTGGAAGTGTGGGATCTCAGTCTTTTTCATAAAATACAAACCCGGGGAGTGTCAGACTCCCCCTCCCCAGTCTAGTTACATTCAACAACTCTCTTTTGGCAGTGAAAGCTTATTGAGTTATATGCAAGATCCAGAAAGCCACTGTGTTAGAACTGAAGACTGTTGGCGGGTACAAGCTTATTATGGGAATTTCAAGCAAGCCCCATCCATCCCCCCAAGCACCCCTCACGGGGCGTGCTCCTCCTAACATTGCCGTGCCAACCAGGAGAGTTAGATGTCCTGGTAATCTAGAGTCCGAGATGGCACAAGAATGTGTTCTTTTGTTCAGTTTGGTGTCGTGGTTAAGTGCACGGACTCTAATCTGGGAGAACCGGGTTTGATTCCCCACTCCTCCATTTGCACCTGCTGATGTGACCTTGGGTCAGTCACAAGCTCTGGCACAGCTGTTCCTGAAAGAGCAGTTTCTGTCAAGAGCTCTCTCAGCCCCACCCACCTCACAGGGTGTCTGTTGTGGGGAGGGGAAGGGAAGGGAGTTTGTAAGCCGCTCTGTGACTCCAAGTGAAGGGCGGGGTATAAATCCAATCTCCTCCTCCTCCTCCTCCTCCTCCTCCTCTTCCTCCTCCTCCTCCTCTTCCT